AGAAGTTATATACAGTCATGGGGTGGAACATGTGGTAGTAGATATCTAGACTATTTACAACCATTCCATGGTCTTAAATCATCACATATTAATTATTTATGAAAATAACGATTATATAAAAAAGGTTTAATAAAATTAACATTTTAAACAAATAAAAAATTGTCGTAAAGAGAAACCAACACTCATTACCATACGAAAATTGATATTTAGCTAGCAATAGATATGTATATATATATATTTCTATGAAAATGTTAATCTGCAAGACGCAGGTTATCATCATCCCTTTTTGATTTGTTTTTGTCACTTTTTGGCGTTCCGAAAATAAACAATAAAAGGCTGTATCAGACTTTACTAAGACAATAAAGATTTGCTAAAAATAAATGGAAGATGTTGCATTTGGCGACGAGGATATAAGAGTAAGTACCCTCGAATTTTGAAGTAAATATTTTTGGAAAATATCTTTGATTTTTTGCATATAATTGAAAGTAAATTTTAAATGACACAAATTGCAAAGTTTTAGGATGCAAATTTAAGAAAGAGTGAAAAAAAATGGCTAGTTACCAATTTAAGGAATATAATGAGGAAACTGAAACTTTTGAAACGTTTTATGAACGATTGGAACAGTTTCTCATATTGGAGGAGGCAGGGGATGAGAAGAAAAAGGCTTATCTCCTAACCCTCATGGGAAGTAAAACATATGGTGTTTTGAAGAATTTGTGCAGTCCTATTCTACCTAAAGATAAAACTTTTGATAACCTAATAGATATCTTGAAAAGGCACTTCTCTCCAAAGCGCTCAATTGTAGTAGAGAGGTTCATTTTTTTTAAAAGAATGCAATTAAAGGAAGAAAGCATCTCGGATTACTTGGTGGAAATTAAGCGTTTGGCTTCCTCATGCAACTTTGGAAATTTTCTGAAGGATTCTTTACGTGATAAAATGGTTTGTGGATTATATAATGCCAAAATACAAAATAGAATTTTGTCGGAGGGCGACATTTCTTTAGCTAAAGTAATTGAGATAGCATTATCTATGGAAGCGGCCGAGAAAAATACAAAATTATTTCACTTGGAGCAGGGTGAAGATTGTGTTGATAAGTTGAGGATGGAACGCAAGGTTGAATCAAATTTCCAGAATGGCAAATGTAAACATTGTGGTAAACAGCATAAAGAACTATGTAGATTTTAGGAGGCGATATGCTTTAAGTGTGATAAAAAAGGACACATTGCCTCAATATGTTGGAGCAGTAGAAGAAATCTAAGGCAACATCAGAATCAGCCGGGAAATATACATCAGATAGGAGACCAAGAAGAGGAGGAAGAGTATGTCCAGAAAATTATAAGCGTGACGATACCTGAGTATAAAATTAATTTTGCCTCAAGTGACCCTCCCTATCTGATGGAGTTAAAAGTAGAAGGAAACTTTATTAAATTTGAAATGGATACGGGTAGTGGTCTAACACTGATATCAGAAAAGGATTTTAAAAATAGTCTTCAACACTTGAAATTGGAAAAAGCGAGTATTATTGTAAGAACTTATGATGGTACCGTGGTACCCATTCTGGGTAAAATCAATGTCAAAGTGGAGTGTCAAGATATTTCTTACAAACTTAGAGCGTTGGTGGTGAAAGGAGAAAAGAGGGCTTTGATGGGAAGAGAATGGATAAATAGATTGAAATTGGGCTGTTTCGCGGTAAAACATATGCCTGTGGAAATTACCATTGAGGAAATTTTGAAGTAAAATCAAGCCCTATTTGTGGAGACAACCGAACCAATAAAAGGTTTCACATTTTCAGTAAACATGTGTGATGTGAAACCAATTTTCCATAAGGCTCGTCCGGTGCCTTTCGCCATTAGGCCAGCAGTTACTGAAGCATTAGACAAAATGGTGGCTAAGGGTTATCTATGTGAGGTGGCGAGCAGTAAATGGGCCACTCCAGTGGTTGTAGTGCCGAAGAAAAATAAAGAGATCAGAATTTGCTGCGACTTCAAGGTAACTCTAAATAAATATTTGGACACTGCGGCCTATCCCCTTCCCACACATAAAGGGCTTTTCAGGTTTAAGAGAATGCCATTTGGATTGGCAAATGCGCCCAGTTATTTTCAATCTGTAATGGATAGGGTTTTGTCAGGTATAGGAGGCGTAATTTGTTATATTGATGATGTCCTTATAGCCACAGCATCAATTGAAGAACATCTGGCGTTGTTGAAGACTATATTTGCTCGCTTGGCGAAGTATAATATCAAACTAAAGAAAGAAAAATGCCTATTTTTGCAAAAAGAAATTGAATATTTAGGACATCTTGTCACGGAAGAGGGCATCAGACCTTTAGATCATAAGGTACAAGCAATACAGAAGGCCAAAACGCCTACGAATATCTCTGAATTAAGGCCATTTCTTGGTTTGGTAAACTTTTATTGGAAGTTCATACCCAATTTGCCAGAGCTTTTGAAGCCTCTTCATGAGCTTCTTCACAAAAAACGTCCTTGGGTTTGGACAAAGGAATGTGGAGAGGCCATTGACAAGTGCAAGAATAGCATTACCTCTGAGAGGGTGCTAGACCCTTATGATGCGACTTTGCCATTGTGTTTGGCCACTGATGCATCGCAGATTGGAGTGGGCGCTGTGTTGTCACATATTATAGAAGGCCAGGAGAGACCGATTATGTTTGCCTCACGGACTTTATCGGTAGCAGAACAAAATTATTCTCAGATTGAGAAGGAGGCTCTAGCTATTATTTATGGAGTTACCAAGTTTCATCAATTTATTTATGGAAGAAAATTTATTCTTATTACAGACCATAAGCCATTGGTGACCATTTTGGGCTCAAGATCAGGAATCCCCACCTTATCTACTTCAAGATTGCAGCGTTGGGCGCTTATTTTGTCAGCTTATACTTACGATATTAAATTTCGAAGAACTCAAGACCATGGGAATGCAGATCTTCTGTCACGTTTTCCTGTGGGCTGTGAAGAAATTCCAAGATTAAATAATGTCTATGCTTTATCCTATGTGGAAGAATTGCCGATCACAGCAGAGGAAATTGCCACGGAAACTGAAAAAGACGAAGTGCTCTCATTGGCCAAATTTTATACTCAGCAAGGCTGGCCTGAAAAGGTGGCTGATCACCTCAGACCTTATTTTCAAAGGAATCTTGAGCTAACTGTAGATGGGGAGTGTTTGGTTTGGGGAATGAGAGTTGTCATTCCACCATCTCTCAGAATAAAAATGTTGAACTGTCTTCATGAGACTCATTCCGGTATGAACAAAATGAAGGCTGTAGCAAGATCACATTTTTGGTGGCCAAATCTAGATACCCAAATCGAGTTTTTGGTAAATAAGTGCAGAAGCTGTCAGCAATCCCAGGATGGGCCAAATAAAAGAAAATGGCAACCCTGGAAATGGTCAACCAGACCTTGGCAAAGAATTCACATTGATTTTGCAAATAAGGAAAACATTAATTTATTAATAGCAGTAGATAGTCATTCAAAGTGGATCGAAGCCATCCCAATGAGAGAGACCACCACACGCAAAACCATTGAGCAACTACGGCGACTTTTTTCTTCCTATGGTCTACCGGAGGAACTTGTATCTGATAATGGACCTCAGTTTACTGGTAGTGAAATGAAAGGTTTTCTGGAAGGAAATGGAATTAAACAAACATTGATCCCGGCGTACCACCCGCAAAGTAATGGCTTGGCTGAAAGAGCGGTTGGAACAATTAAGACTGCCCTGGATAAAAATAAAAGGAAAATTGGGGATACCATTCAAGACACCTTATCAAAAGTTCTTCTGGCATATCGAAGCACCCCGCATGTGACAACGGGAAAGACTCCATCAGAGCTCTTTATTGGGCGTGCGCTTCGAACCAGAGTATCGTTGATACATCCCAGCTTGGCATCTAGAGTTAGGGACCAGCAAGCCAGGCAAATGAAGTATGATCGGCGAACCCATTTGGAAGAATTCCAGATAGATGATTTAGTGTGGTGTAAAAACTTTAGAGGTGGTGATAAATGGATCCCAGGAAAAATTGTGGGCAAGAAGGGAACTAGAGTCTACACCATTTTGATCCACGGACAGGTAAAGGCCTATCACAGGGATCAAATTAGAAAAAGGTGGAGGAATGGTGAGGAAGATGAGAGTGGAGATGGAGAGCGTCAACCCGAGCACTCAAGAGGAGCAGGTCCCAGTGCCATAATCTCGGAGGTTGTACGAGACAGAGGTTATATGGAGTCGCTGTCGCCAGGACTAACTAGCCAGCGGTCGGATCAAGATTCAGAGGTTCAGAGTGATACAGACGATGGAAAGTCATTGGAGCCTCTTCGCTCGCTGGACCCCGAGGCCTTGAAAGAGGAGGGTCCTGTCCTAAGGCGGAACCCACCTCGAGCGAGGAGACCGCCTGCGAGATTTCGTGTTTGAAGAGAGAAGATGGTGATATATAGCTAGCAATAAATATGTATATATATATATGTTTCTATGAAAATGTTAATCTGCAAGACGCAGGTTATCATCATCCCTTTTTGATTTGTTTTTGTCACTTTTTGGCGTTCCGAAAATAAACAATAAAAGGCTGTATCAGACTTTACTAAGACAATAAAGATTTGCTAAAAATAAATGTGTACGAAGATGTTGCAAAAATAAAGTTAGGATCAATAGTCATTTTTAAATTTTTTAAGATTTTACACACACACAAAGCAATTTTCTTTTTGATTTAATGAGTATATTTCTAATTTAAATGAGGACAGTTTTGATTTTATTAAGGATATATATTGTGGCGAAGAAATAACTTATTATATTTAATTTAATTATTCAATGAAAATATTCAACAGATTATATAAATATATATTACTCTAAAACAACACTTAAAGTTTCACCGCATACGTTTCTTTTCTGTGAAAAATCAATATTTATTTCAAAGAGAAATATTTACTATTTCTAACTTTTTTGGATGAAGTATGAAAGGGTGAAATATGAAGAGTAATGGCGAACGGAAAAATAAAAGTGTCCAGGGGCGGGAATCGAACCCACAACGTTCCGCTTACAGGGCAGATGCCATGTCCACTAGGCTACCCTGGACGTATTTTTCCGTTCGTAAATAAAATGTCGTAAAGAGAAACCAACACTCATTACCATACGAAAATAAAGTAAGGATCAATAGTAATTTTTAATTTTTTTAAGATTTTACACACACACAAAGCAATTTTCTTTTTGATTTAATGAGTATATTTCTGATTTAAATGAGGACAGTTTTGATTTTATTAAGGATATATATTGTGGCAAAGAAATAACTTATTATTTAATTTGATTATTCAATGAAAATATTTACGAACAAACGAATATTATTTAAATATTATTTACGAACGGAAAAATACGTCCAGGGTAGCCTAGTGGACATGGCATCTGCCCGGTAAGCGGAACGTTGTGGGTTCGATTCCCGCCCCTGGACACTTTTATTTTTCCGTTCGCCATTACTCTTCATATTTTCACCCTTTCATACTTCATCCAAAAAAGTTAGAAATAGTAAATATTTCTCTTTGAAATAAATATTGATTTTTCACAGAAAAGAAACTTATGCGGTGAAACTTTAAGTGTTGTTTTATAATCATACGCCGCAGTCCTTTATAATATTGATACGTGCTGTAAATATTTCATAATTATTATTTTCTTCTTTAACTTTTCATAGAATATTATTTCAATAATCATCATCACTTGGCATTGTTTACATAAGTTTTTTGTTGTAAAATGGCTGAAGTGAGTTAAAAATAAAAAGCTAACAAGACATACATTTTTGATTATTTCTTTCTTTTACATTAAACAACAGCGACAAAAGAAAAACTACATACATCCGCAACATATTTGGCGCAGCTCGACAATATATTTCAAATTTAAATAACTCATTTAGAGACATCTTTATTGTTATAATGGCAAATTTACATAGATTTGAAAAATATTCTGGCAGTAAGAATAACATAAAGATTGAAAGTTGGATTAAGTTGTATGAAGTAGAAAATTTAAAGGCAAATGATGAAGAAAAAATACACAATCTTATCTACTATTTAGCAGATGAAGCCTTAGAATTTTTTGCTGATGAAATTTTTACAAATGCACATATAAAGAAATGGGAAACTGTAAAAGATAAACTCATTGCCAGATTTAAGCCTTGCATATATAGTCCCATTGTATTAGCATCTAGCAGAAAGCTCCTTGCAAGTGAAACAGTGGAGACTTATTTTAAAGAAAAAATGGACTTACTGAATCAAACATCCTTGAAAAAGGAAGAGAAAATACAACTACTAACAGATGGGCTACCTTTGAATTGGAGGGATGTGTTTGCAGCAGCACAACCTGCAGATACAACCAAATGGATACAAGTTGCACTTTCTGTTGAGCATAACAGGCAACAAAGTAAACTAAGAAATTTGTTTAAACCCAAAGTATGCACTCTATCTCAACAGGAAAGATCAGCTTCAAATTGCCCATTTTTTTGCCCAATTTGCATAAAGAAAAGAATTAAAGTGAAACATTGGTTGAATGAATGTCCTGATTATGACCCAAATTATAAAACAGAGAGATCATCTAAAAATACACAACCAAAACAATTCATTACAACAGTCACAGAATCAACCACAAGTAATGAAACAAACAAAGTAACTTGCTTATCAACTCATAATCCTCCTAATAAATTGATAGACTTTAAAATTTGTGTCAACAAACATCCTTTACAAGCCTTCATGGACACAGGTGCTACCATATCTTTAATAAATCAAAATTTAATGAAAAGTTTGAATTTACATCCTTTAATAGATTCTCCCATGCAAATTCAACAAGCTAACTCATTAACCAACACTTTGGGATATGTTCATGTAGACTTGCAAATTCATAATAAAACTAGAAAGGTCAAACTCCATGTAATACCTAATTTAAAATTCCAGCTACTCATTGGCTTGGATATTGCAGAAGACTTTGAACTTATTGTTGACACTAAAGATAAAACAGTGTACACTAAGCAATCAGCAGAAATGGCACTTGTTTGCACAACCTGTAATCAGTTGCAACAACAACAACAAAACCAGATCCAACAGCAACAACAACAAAACCAGATTCAACAACAACAACAACAACAGAACCAGATTCAACAACAACAACAGCAGCAAAAACAGAACCAGCTCCAACAACAGCAACAAAACCAGGTCCAACAGCAACAATACCAGATTCAACAACAACGGCAGCATCAGCCCCAGCAACAACACCAGATGCAACAGCAGCAGAGACAACAACATCAAAGACAGGCAGATCTCAGCTTCATTGAAGACCCTCAAGATCATCAAAACACAGTGATGGTGAAGAAGAGAGGACTACTCAGGGCTGTGGTGCCTGCTTCTTTTAAAGAACATGTTCTGAAGGAATATCATGATAACATGAGTCACCCATCCATGAACAAAACAGTCAAATTAATGGTTTCTTTATTTTGGTGGTCAGACATGGTACAGGAAATTAAATCTTATGTGAGATCATGCAAGACATGTCAAATGACCAAATCATCTAACCAACCAACTCTAGGACAACTAATAATTCCAGACACAGAACTACAACCAGCTCAAGTAATAAGTGCAGATACAATAGTTATGGGAACAGCAGCTGAAAAGACAAAGCACAAGTACATCCAAGTGTTCATTGATCATCTTACAAGATATGTTTGGGCATTTCCCACTATCAAAAACACAGCTCAAGCAACGCTACAATGTTTCAACAGAATCCTTCAAGTCTCGCTACCCATAAAACATATTATTACTGACAATGGAAAGAACTTTAATTCCAAGGAATTCAAAAGGTGTTTGAAAGTTCATAACATCAAACAAACTTTCACCACACCATACCACCCCCAGAGTAATGGAATGTGCGAAAAGGTTAACGGAACAATCATGACCAAATTAAGAACGGCCTTGCTTGATAAACCGAAAGTGAAATGGAGCACACTTTTGCCCAAGGTCATTACTGACTACAACAATACCCCTCATGACGTAACAGGTTTTCCGCCATCTTTTCTACTTTTTGGTTACAATGTGCAGCCACAATTTGCTGATAACCCCTCAACCTCGGTAGAAGATGCTAGAAAACTGGCTATAAAAAGAATTCAACATCATCGTGAGATTTCCAAAAGGAGACATGATTCAAGACATCCCGACATTGAATTTAAAGTTGGAGATCTCGTTCTTAAAAGAATTCCCTACAATGATCCGATGTTAATTAAAACAGCTCCCAAATACGAAGGACCATTCCAAGTTTTGAGAAGATTGTCTAAAGTGACTTACGAACTCTCTACAACGGATCAAGACAACCCACCAAGAAATCCCACAGGAGATCCTATAAAGGCTCACATCTCTCAATTAAAGTCATTTATTCTCCGTGAATAAATGCATCAAAGCGGGGGTAAATGATACGTGCTGTAAATATTTATAATTATTATTTTCATCTTTAACTTTTCATAGAATATTATTTCAATAATCATCATCACTTGGCATTGTTTACATAAGTTTTTTGTTGTAAAATGGCTGAAGTGAGTTAAAAATAAAAAGCTAATAAGACATACATTTTTGATTATTTCTTTCTTTTACATGAAACAACAGCGACAAAAGAAAAACTACATACATCCGCAACAATATATTACTCTGTTTATGTAAAATAATGATCGAGATATTTCTTTGCTTGCTTGCTCAAGATTCTCTAGCTGTATATAGTTTTGTTGATTTGTTAATAATTGTCGACTAGTCGTGCTGACGTCATCAATAAATACGCTTACATCTTAAGATATACAAAGACTTGATTTTCTACGCTACAACTGGTGGAGAGACTGGATCGATACCCATTCAGAAAAAAAAAAAACGGAAAATTGACTCAGTTGAGCAAGAAGAAAAAACCATGAACATCAAGAAAGAAGCAACAACTCAGGTAGGTTCATTTTTTGTTCAACATCTACCTAGAAACCCCTCAATGTTCTCTGGTGAGGGTGTTGCAGATCTCTGTAGCTGGTTAAAAGGGTATGAACGTGTGGCGAAGCACAACCAATGGGATGAAACCCTTTCTCTCGCTAACGTCTATTTCTATCTGACTGGCACTGCCATTAAATGGTTTGAAAACAATGAGGAAAGCATCCAGACATGGACGGAGTTCATGTCACAAGAAAATGTATTTGGAAAAAAAAAAAGAAAGCTCAAGGCTGCGAGCCGAGAAAATACTCAAAACTCGCGCACAATTAAAAGAAGCACCAAATATTACATCCAAGACGCCCTGCGCCTCTGCAAAGAGGTAGATTCTCAAATAAATGAGGAAGATAGAATATCCCATCTGATGAAAGGGATAGCTGAGGAGCTCTACCAGGCGCTTCTCCCAAGGGATGTACATAACACTGAGCAATTCGTCACCGAGTGTCGCCGCATTGAAAGCCTACACTGTAAGTGAGTGACCCCAACCAAATACGAGCGACTACCAAATGTGGCGTCTCACAGTGATCATGATGACAGGGCAGATATGTCATCTATGATTAGGAAAATTGTTCGTGAGGAGGTACAGCGGGCATTAGGCTCTACTCGAGAGGAACCAAAAATTGCCACCATTGAAGATATGGTAAAGGAGGATATTGGAAGAACCCTGGCGCCAATCTCAAAGTCTAGGAGAAATCCTTCACAGAAGGAAAGACCCCGACAGTTTATTAATACTAGATACGAGGCCCAAACGATAAGACCCCACCCTGAACCTCGATACCCAAAACAAGAAGGAAGACGCGAGCGACACAAACGAATGGCGAACAACTGAAGGAAAGCCGATTTGTTTCCACTGCGGACGCCCTGGTCAAGTCGTCCGCTACTGCCGTGATAAACAAAGACAAAACGAGGAAAGGCGAAACAAATACAGTAGAACTTGGATAATTCGAACTTCTTTAATTCGAAAACCTCTTTAATTCGAATATTTATCTTGGTCCCTAGAATTTCCTATATAAATAATTTAACATCTTTAATTCGAATATTTGGATAATTCGAATTTTTTTATGGTCCCTTGGGGTTCGAATTATCCAAGTT